TTCATTGACTATGCTAAAGCCTTTGATTGTGTGGATCACAACAAATTGTGGCAAGTTCTTAAACAGATGGGAGTAACAGACCATCTTATTTGTCTCTTGAAAAACCTGTATGCGGGTCAAGAAGCAACAGTGAGAACTGGACATGGAACCACTGATTGTTTCAAAATTGGGAAAGGAGTATGGCAAGGCTGTATACTGTTGTCCTTCCTATTTAACTGATATGCAGAGCACATCATGTGAAAGGCGAGGCTAGATGAATCACAAGTTGGAATTAAGATTACCAGGAGAAATATCAACAGCCTCAGATATGCAGATGATACCACTCTAATGGTAGCCTCTTTTTTTTCTTTTTGGAATAAGTTTTATTCTTAATATACCTAACAAAAAGAAACTAAGAAGCATCAATCATCGAAAACATCAGACCTACTGGGTCAGCCTCCCCTTTCTTTTTATGTTAAACTATAAACATGTTTAAGTCTATGCATATCTTGTTTCTCTAGCCAATAATAAAAGGAATCCCAGGTTTGATAGAAGTCTGTATCTTCTTTCTCCCTCAGAGACAAAGTCAGTCTATCCATTTCCACACAGTGCAAAATCTTTTTTAGAATCAGTTCATTGGAAGGTGGTTCTTCACTCTTTCAGTGTTGAGCAAATGCAATCCTTGCCACAGTAGTTACATGTGGAGTCAAATATATTGCTTGTTTACTAAGATCATCGGGTACAATGCCTAATAAGAAAACTTCAGGTTTAAATGTTAAAGGTTTTTGTAACATTTCCCCAAGCCATTTGTGTATTTTAATCCAATACTTTTTTGCTTTATCACAAGTCCACCACATATGATAAAACGTACCTGATTTGTATTTACATTTCCAACATCCATTTGACATATTTGGAAACACCTTAGCTAACCTATTTGGTGACAAATACCATCTATAAAACATTTTATACACATTTTCTTTATATGAAGTTGTTAATGTTACTTTAATATTTCTTTCCCACAGTTTTTGCCATTTCTCTAACTCAATATTATATCCAAAATTTTGCGCCCACATTATCATAGTTTCTTTAACCTGTTCATCTTCCATTCTCCTTTCCAGTAGGAAATTGTACAATCTTTTTATCATTTTCTCATCAGATTTAAGAATCACGTGATCAAATGCTGTTGACTCCTTATAAAAGCCCCACATTCTATGATCTTTGGCATATCTCACTTGCATTTGAACCTTGTGCCACCAAGAAATATTAATTCCTTGTTCTTGTATTTCTTGATTCAATTTTAATCCTCCATCATTATCCAAAATATCATCATATCTCACGACTGTATTAAAGTTCAATGCATTTGGATATACAAGAGCTTCCATAGGCGAAACCCATCTTGGTAATTTAGTATACAGTTTTGTCTTTAACTTTTCCCACACCGACATTAGTGATTTCCTAATATAATAGGAACTAAATAGCCTCTTGATGTGGGTGAAGGAGGAGAGCGCAAAAGTTGGCTTGAAACTCAACATTAAGAAAACTAAGATCATGCCATCCGGTTCTATCACTTCCTGGCAAATAGATGGGGAAGAAATGGAGGTAGTGACAGATTTTATTTTCCTGGGCTCCAAGATCACCGCAGACGGTGAATGCTGCCAAGAAATTAAAAAACACTTGCTCCTTGAGGGGAAAGGAATGGCAAACCTAGACAGCATACTAAAAAGCAGAGACATCTCCCTGCCAACAAAAGTTCGTATAGTCAAGGCTATGGTTTTCCCAGTTGTAATGTATGGCTGTGAAAGTTGGACCATAAGGAAGGCTGAGCGCTGAAGAACTGAGACCTTTGAATTGTGGTGCTGAAGAAGATTCCTGTGAGTCCCTTGGACTGCAAGGAGATAAAACCAGTCAGTCTTAGATGAGATCAACCCTGACTGCTCTTTAGAAGGCCCGATACTGAAGATGAAACTCAAATACTTTGGCCACCTAATGAAAAGAAAGGACTCACTGGAGAAGAGCCTAATGCTGGGAACAATTGATGACATAAGTAGAAGGGGATGGCAGAGGGTGAGGTGGCTGGATGGAGTCACTGAAGCAGTCGGTGTGAGCTTAGATGGACTCTTGCGGGATGGTGGAGGATAGGAGAGCCTGGAGGAATGTTGTCCATGGGGTCGTGATGGGTCGGACACGATTTCATGAATAACATAACATAATAATACAGGTGAATAGCCAAAGCTCTAAATGCACTAGAAGAAAGAATTTCACACATGGTTTTGGTTAGTACATCATTACAATAATAAACTCAAGGAGTTCACTCCATGAATTCTAGAATTATAACTTTCAATTTAGTTCCTGAATGGGAAAAGTCAATAATTACTGCCTTTCCTATGCACTGAGGCATTAGTAAACAATGTAAACGGCAAACAGCTACTCCAAGAGTACAAAATTCAGAAAACAGTGACCAGATTTTTTATACCCTGCAGCAATTGATCTTACCCTTCCTCTCATCCTCATTCAGTTTCAAGGCTCCAAGGTGGAGATACATTGGTGGTAATGGTTAATCTCTTCTATGCTCTGGATATTCCTAAAAACAGGACACAACAGTCCCACTTACAGGCAAAAGGCCTTAAATGAAGTTGTATTTGGCTGCCAAGGGAAGGACAACAAAGAGGGATCCATCCTACTCTCCCTTTGGAAGGTGTTCCATAGGTCCAGAAAAGTGCCTTCAGTGGTCACCAAACATGCCTCTGAGGGTAGCAGCCTCCAAAACAGGTCTCTCCAGAAGATCTTGGGAACTGGGCAGGCTTGCATGGAAGAAGGAAGTCTTTCATCTAGCCTGGTCCCAAGCCATGTACAGCTTAATAGGTCATAACCAGCACTTTGAATTCTGCCCAGAAACAGGCCATTAGCCAGTGAAGTTGTAACAAGGGATGTGTGCACTCTCCGGAATGATGAAACTGACACTGTTGTACTTTGGGCCCATCACGGAAAGGCAAGTCTCCCTGGCAAAGAAATAATGCTAGGGAAAGTTGAAGGCAGCAGAAGAAAAGGAAGAGAAATATAAAATGGATTGATTCCATAAAGGGAGCCACAGCCTTGATTTTGCAAGAGCTGAGCAGGGCTGTCAAGGAGGAGACATGTTATAGGACACTCATTTAGAGGGCTGCCATAGGTTGGAGATGACTTGACAGCACATAAGAACAAATAATCTGGTGTCATCAGCAAACTTGGCCACATTGCTGGTCACTCCTAATTCCAGGTCATTTGTGAATAGGTTGAAATCACTGGTCCTAATGCAAAACCCCATGACACCATTCCACAGGCCACCAAACTGAATGGCTTTAAAAGTATGTGGACAAATCCATGGAGGAGATGGCTATCATAGTCTTGACGGCTATGTGCTACTGCTAGTATTAGAGGCAATATGGATTTTGTATTTGGGCTTTTAATGTTTGTAAAACACCCAGAGAGCCCTCTGGGCTATTGAGGTGGTATATAAATGCAATTAATCAGTCAATTAATAAATACACCAGTTGCTGGGGAGCTGGCCAGGAAGAAAGAGCTCTTGTGCTCATATCCTACTTGAGGGATCCCATGGGCTTTGCTACAGTGTTGGAAGGCTGGACTAGATAGCCCATTGGTCTGATCCAGCATAGCTTATATTCTTACGTAGGAGGCCCAGCAGCCTGAGCAGAGAGAGAGAATGAAAGCGCAAACCAGACAGAGAGAAAACATCAAATAAGCCCCAGATTCGCCTACCACTCTACCTGTTAGAGCAGTCCCACACAAAACTCCTGTTTTCTAACTCCCAGGAAAAGAAAATTTTGCCACAGATCTCACTTGTTCTGATTACACTGCACTACCAGCTGTGGGAATTTAGAACTTCCATCAACACGTTTTCCTTAGAAAGCTGAGCAACATCCTAAACAGTTTTCTAAAGCAAAGATGACAATGAACTGTTTGCCTTGGCTCACATAGGTTTCTCTGAATACCTATCCAGAATGAGAATGAAATGGTCCCAGGCTTCAAGGAAGGTCGTCTTCCTCCAAGAGTAATGCTTCTTACTTCAAAAGCCTAATGGTGGACAACTTGTCACCCTTCAAATGTTTTGGCCTAGGAGTCCCTTCAAACCCTGACCAGCACAGCCAATTGTGAGGGATGACGGGAACTGCAGGCCCACAAATTTAATTATTTATTATTTATTAAAAGCTTTTATAGGCCTGTCTACTACAACTCCTCCAGGGAGTTGCCCATCCCTGGAGGATGCTAACCTCCTTTCAAACAAAAGTGCCACCCAGGCCTGGTCCCTGTCTGTGGCTGTTAATCCGCCAGGAAGCTCAGAGGGGCGAAGCAGCTTCTCTGAAGCAGCTTCGTGGTCTTTCAGTGGAGACATTAGACAAAAATCTAAAGAGAGAACAAAGTACATTTCAGCAAGCCAGCGAATTTTGCCCTAAGGATTAATTCCGAATGACAAATAATAGGCCCGTTGATTTCGAAGAAGTCAACTTTCTATTCTGCATGGGTCGACGCTTTTATTTTAATTTCTAGTGGAAGGAAAGTTCATTTCCTTCGAGGAACTCCAGGGCTTCGGCAATGCGTCAGTGGGGGCGGGTGCCGCTGTTTGTGCGGACTGCCCCCCCCCACTCCCTTCTGCCGCTTATCGAGTCTTTGAGCTCAGCCTCCCCCCCCCCCTTCATCTCGTTTTATGATTCAAGACTATTTGCTGGTGAATTCTCTTACCGTTATTCTCCCTAAATCTCCCAGGACGTTTTAGCAGGAGGAGGGAGGGAGGCCTACAACTCCCAGCACTGCCGAGGCGTCTGGCTGGCGAAGCCTGGGAGTGGTAGGACTGTGTCTACACATGCAAGGATCGCCGCCCGAAGGGGGCAGAAGGCTCTCCTGGGTTTTGTGCGGCGGCCCTGCTCCCGCGGGCCCTGCGAGCCTCTCCGCCGCGCCGCAGGTGGCGGGAAGACGGTGCACTTCTCCGCGAGGCCGGCAGTGGGAGCAGCTGCGGCTCCGGCTCCGGCAATCAGCTGGCTCGCGGGGGACAAATCTCGGACGGGGAGCCACTACTCCTCCGCTCAGCCTTCTCACTCGGTCCGCCTCCCTCCCGTAGCCCTGGGCGGCTTCTGGCCGCGGCTGCCCCCGCCCGCGCGCAGTCCCCTCGGTGTGCCGAGGCGGCGAAGAGGGTGTGCCCGAGGCAACGGAGAAGGCGCGAGGGACGGAGCCGCGGGCGAGAGTCGGTGGCGGGCGCGCTGGTCTTGGCTCTCCATTTCCTCTCCGGGCTTCATCTTCTGTGACGGCGGCACCCCAGCCCTCACCCAGCCTCTCCGGCTGCCGGTAGGCGCGCCGAAGAAGGCTGAGAAATCTTCAAACAGGAGCGGGGAGGAGGAGAGACCGCGGAGCTGCGAGTCTCCCATTCAGCGCTCCCCAGCCTGCCCCCCATCCCACTGCTGCTTTACCATGATCCAGGCTCTTTCCTGCCACCGAGAAGACCTCTAAACACCCGCAGCCCTCCGAAGCGGACCTGCGGCAGATCCTGGGTTGCTAAGGTAATGGCATTTACAGTACCCTCCCCACAGCTTGTAGGGCAAAATGGCCAGCGCGGCACGGCTCCTGCCTTCTCTGCTTCCTCAGCACCCCAGCGCGCCCCTTTTCCACTCTACAGGGGCGCAGAGGCAATGAAACCGGCTGCTCCGGTTCTTAAACAAACCGGAGTCCGTCCAAGCGCGCTGGGTGTCTGAAGTCCCCTCTGGTACGGCGGGAAAGGAGGCGTAGAACGCTTCCCACGCCACGCATCCACGGTGGCTTCATTTTCTGCCCTTTCCAACATGGATTTTTGGTAGTAGTAGTAGTAGTAGTTGTTGTGGGGGGAGGGGGGTTACGAATGAGTAAAGAAAAGTATAAGTATGCCAAGTGTAAACGACCCTGGCTTCCATTCGGAGTACAGCCATAGCCACGCGGTCCGCGGCGCGGCGTTCACGTTAAGCGCAGGGCCGGGAGAGTTTGTTTCCCCGCCCGCCCCTCTGCGGGGTTTGTGGAAAGGGGAGAGCAGCGAGCGGAGTTTGCGCTCCTAAGCTGTGCGGATCGATGCCGAGGGGCACGCAAGGCGATCGCTAAGCAACCGGCTGCGGAAGCGATTGCGAAGTGGCGCTACCGGGAGGGCGACACGGCCGCCGCGGCTGCGGCTCCCGTTAGGCTGGTGCGCCGCTTGCTTTCCCGGGGAATGAAGCGCGGGGAAGGATGAGCCGGGCTTTCGCCGCGGGAAACGTAGAGCTGCGGGCTGCTCAGCCCAAGTGCAAGCATGATTTCAGCCCACAGAGCGGCACCGCCGCATTGGCGAAGCGCAGCCCCGGAATGCGCCCGGTTTGCTTACAGCTAGAAACCGGGGCACTTTTCTGGAGACGCGGGTTACAAGTTTTCTGTACCTTCCAAGATCTGGGTTTTGGCTCCTTCCCCAGGAACGCCGTGTAGCAGCCAGAGCTGGGGGAAGGCAAAGCACGTGAGAACTGGGTGGATCCCGAGTCCCTAGAGCCCAAACAGAGCTCAGTGTCAAGAGCAGGGTCTATCAATGACCCGCCTTTTAGCCAACTGGCTGCTGTGAAACAAAAGGAGATGGATCTGAGCCAGCCGGCTTGGCTTTGGCCTGCAGTCCTAGACATTCATCCTTGGAACCGGGTCCCACTGAAACCTCTTACGTTTTCACAAGTGCCCTGTGAAGACTTGCTAGGCACATAGTGCCTGTGGCAAGTGTGGAGCTAGGTAGCCAAAGGGAGGCCGTATGCAACTGATAGTGCACTGACTGCTGCCCAGAGTGGCCGTCCCACACGTCTGGGCAGCCGCTGCGCACAGCCACCGGTCGCTTTTGCCTTTGCATCACTGGAGCAGGGAATGTTTGTCTCTTGCCCCAAGCAAATGGCAAAAAGACTGAGCAACGTAGGTATCCATGATACAAAATGGCGCACATGCGCCATTCAGTCACTTTGGCTTACTTGGGTTGCAGAACCGAGCAGTTGGTGAGGCAGATGTGTTACATATGATTTAGGGCAGGGTGGGGAAGATGTGATCCTCCAGCTGTTTTTGGAGTCCAGAACACCAGCAGCTTTCCTTGTATCTGCTTGTACACGAGAGAGTGTGCCCACTGAAGGTCACTCACTGTCATAGCTGGACTGCCTTGTCAAAGTGCTCCCATGATAGTCCCCAGATCTTCCACAAAACAGGCTGTAACGCTTTGCACATCTGGACTGTAGAACTGGAAGTGTCCAAGCAGCCTGTTTGTGATCACTCAAATTAGAGCCACCTGGTTGTGGGTTGCGCACCCCTGGACAGCTCTGGGAACGTTCTTGGTTGGTCTGGATGTGTTGCCTGCTGCAATTTTTGGCACAGTCACTAAGAGAGGCCTGAGAAGAAAGTGGCAGCACTGTTGACAGGTGTATCTCCTTATCCGAAATGCTTTTACTTCCTACAGCCTGGCACAGATTGTGTTACCCAGTCAAGTGGCTCCGCCCATTGGTGCAAACTGTGCAGTGGGGTTGAATAAACCTGTGTTTGTTGCCAGGGTGAGACTGCAGGATGACAAGAAGGGGGTGTCAGTTACTCAGTGAGCCACAAGAAAAGGCCAGTGTGGGCATCAGTTGCTTTGATGGGTTGTAAATTGTGCAGGGTTGACTTTAAGTCTCTCCGGTTTTAGTTGAAGTGACTGCTAACTCAGTAACTCAGGAGGTTGCTGGCTGCAGCCTTAGCCTTTCTCCACATTTCCATTGTCCCATTAGAGAAAAAATACAGCAAAAACGATAGGTGTGTAGGCTCTCTTAAACTTCTATACTAAGTGCACTTTCATTAAAACCTGTGGGCTTGAATTGCGAGTAAGCATGTCCATTATTAGGGAACCCTTCTACAGGGAGGGACTGTAGCTCAGCCCCAGCGCTCATGCACTGCATCCAGAAGGCCCCCGGTTCAATCCCTGGCATCTCCCGTTAGGCCTGGGAAAGAATCCTACCTGAAAGCCTGGCGTCATTGCCACTGCTGGTGAGCTAGATGGACCAGTGTGAGGTCTGACTTAATGGAGGGCAGGTTCTTGTGTTCCTGTGTGCATAGCCCTCTCCCAGCCATATTACTGAACTTGAGGTTTGTGTCTTTTAGAAGCAGTGCATGTGTGCCCCCCGCCCCCGTGTGTGTGTGTGTGTGTGTGCGCACGTGCATGCATGCATGTGTGCATTGGTGGAGGGGCTTCTTTAGCCCATCCGTGTTTCCCTTTCATCTTGTAGCCACTGTCAGATAATCCTGCAATGTCATAGTAAGAGGTGATAGCATGTTATCTGGTCCTTGGGGATGTGGAATGGGCTGCATAGATGCAGAACAGTCCTTGCTTTTAAAGAGCATCCTGCTTGTAAAGAAGGGAAGACTGGGGTGTTAGGGCACTCAAGGGAGGACATCAGTAGGAAAATATATGGTATCTGGGAGCTAAAACTGTCTTGCCTTGGCTTTGTCTGGTGAAGCCTTTAAAAACAGCAGCTGTGCTCCAGCAGTGCTGTTCTTCAGTCCCTCCCTGGTCCTTTACCGGTGGTCTAGATAGTATCCAATTACCTTTGAATCAGACTACAAAATGGAAGTCACACATGGATGGCCTAGAGGCAGAAGCCCTCATTCTCTCTTCCACTGCCTGTCCAGCTAAAGTCTCAAGCTCAAGGGCATTTTCACATGTAAGATGTGAAGTGCTCAGGCAGTTTGTGATGTAAATGTTAAACTTTTGCCAGCCTACTCATGCTTGTTCCAAAAGTCTTACCACTCACTTTCTTCTCCCAATGAAGCATGTCTAATGTACATAGTATTTAAACAGCGCAAAGGCAATTTACTAGTGAGGTCATAAGACAAAACAATCACTTGGGAGTTCATTTTGGATCAGAGAATGTTTCACTTTAGACAAAGCCCACCTTGCTTTGAAACTGAAATACAGCCTCATTTCAGTTTTCCAAAGCTTGGGTTACCTCCCTATTGAATATAATGGGGAAATTTTAAAAATATAGTGGTAATGTTTCATTTTGGGGCAAAATGGGATGCTATCTTAGGCATAATAGCCTCTTTTAAGTGAATGAAACCTCTCCTGTTTCAGCCAAATTTAGTGCTAGATGGTTTTAATGTTGATTTTGGGGATAGGGTAGGGGAGAACTAATCTTGCCACCTCTCTCCCCCCTTCCAGAAATTGCTTTGGATCAATGGCTTGTTGAAATGGATGATTTTTGCTGAAATCTAAAAGTGGACACTATTGTGGTACTATAACTCTGTCTCTTTCTGTGTAACTCTCCAAATAACAGTCACACACAACATAGCACACATGAAAAACATCAATTCAGAGAGATACTGTAAGTTTTACTCAGAGATAGATGGAGTAAGAAACAATAGCAAGAATAAATAAGAACTAGGATGAATCAGAATTGGCTTTTTGGAAAGAACTGGACTAGGTTGGGATAAGAAGGGCACACAAGCAAACCACCACCAACTGCGCAGCTCTTTCAGCATTGCTCTTCCTAGAAGAGCCCATGTGCAAAAGAGCACTGAAAACACAAATAACTTCTGATATGTTATTCCCATGGCCCACCCAAAAGCAGTGTGATTGGAGAGCCCTACTAAATGCATTCCCTGGTTGGAACCTACAACTGTAATTCATTTCTCCTTTCTGTTCAGGTCTGTACCAATGAGCATTGGGAAAATACCTGTTGGAAACAGTTTCTCAAAGTGTATCTGAAGCCTCAGAAAGAGTCCCCTTTTATCTGTAAGATGTCCAAATACTTGCAAAGACGCCTGGCTCAGTGCGTGAGCTTAGTCCAGATGCAGATGAACGTCTTTGCAGCTGAAGCCTCGTATATGAAAGGATTCAGTCTAAGAAGCAAGGATGGCAACCTGCTATCCCTGTAGTTTGGACCACATTCCCAATCAACTTCAGCCAGCAGAGAGGGTGAGGCTTGTGGTGTAAAACATCTGGAGTGCAGTAGGCTGCTTTCCTACTGGTCTAAAGAGAGCCTGTATGGTACAGTAGTTGAGTGTTGGGCTGGGACTGAGAAGGTTACTTAGTGGATGACCAGGATTCTGGTGACTGCTGTGTTCATGACAGTCCGTCCCATTTCAGCAGTACAGGAACTATCCGTAGTGCTGAATTCCATCCCCAAAATGGAGTCACCATCCTGGAGTACTATGGATAGCGCCTATAAGGCTCAGAAGAAACACTGGAATGGTTAAGTAATCCCAGTGACATAGGTGCCACCAGCCTTCCCTGTGGGTTGTGCAGTCTCCCAAACTAGCCTACCTTGCAGGGTTGCTATGAGATGAAATGAGTTGACAGCTGTGTATGCTACCTGCACTCCTTTGGGGAACAGCAGGGCATTTCCTCGTGGAAATTAAAATGGAATTTTCCACACCCTGCCTTGAAAGTGTTTAGTTTTAGATCCTGGTAGGGAGCAGTGTGCAGTGATCAGCAGAAGGAAGAGAAGAATTGTAGTACTTGTGGTCAGTTATGTCATTAAAAGTCCTCTGGAGCAACTTGTATTTCTTGTAC